AGATTGTGATTTCACAGTACATTACCCCGAAATGTTGCATTTTGGAATGTTAAAATGTTTTTAAAAATAGCCTTGAATAGAAAAAGTTGCACTATTTACTCCAAAAAAGACCAGAAATAAACCCCAAAATGGCTCAGATTAGAGCACACGCTCCACACAAAACGTCAGGAAAAGCACATGTTAAATGCATTGAAGAACCACGTGACCTCCCCAGCCAAAGAGCTTTCATGGTGTTATGAAAATGTCGATATCTTCCGACATGGTAGCCAATGATCATATTAGCATAATTTCCAACAGGAGGGGAAAAGTGATATAACTCAAGCTGTTATCAAGCAGGGTGCTAATTTCAAGTCTGTCATATTCTTAAATGCACAATCGGACGTCTTATTTGAACTAAGCGAGAAATATTCTTCCCGCACTAATGAGGGTGCTTTACACACTCTGAGGCCAAATCATAATCTGCTGGTCGTGGGCTGAGTCCAGGCACTCTGTCAAGTCACATTTCACTGTATGGATATTTGTTGGAAATGAAAGGCGTAACAGAAAATGAAAAGGGAGGTTATTGGATACCTCATTTATTTCGGCATCATTCCTCCAAGGATCTTAAATGCCTCCTGGCCTTGAAAATTACTGAACGCTTTTCCCTTTTTCTACACTTTATTGAAAGTCACACCCAATTTCTGTGATGTAATATGCCTTGGAATAAAATCATTGTAAGTGGAAATTCAAAGCAATAAAACCTCTACTGCACAGTCTATTCCTTGTTCCCAAGAGATGTACCCAGCATCCCACCTCAACACCTGTGTATTTGATTAGTGCCAGCACCCGAGTCCCAGTGCGGCTTACTTTTTGAACCACGAAGGTGTGGCTTCTTCCTCCCATGGCATCCAGTTGAAACACTGAAAACAAGGAAGCCACATCCTTTGAGATCCCAAGTACAATCCAATCCTTGTCTTCACTCACGAGAATGGATTTGGAGGGCCCTTCTTGTAATAAGTTGAGATTTAACGTCCAAATAACATTGTGAATATGCAAAATGAGATCCAAAGGTCAAATTGAAATCTGTCCTTGATGTAAACTGCATACATGTTGTGGTTTCTCTCAGTGTCCATTTGTATTTGCTCTCTTTATCTCCCTCGCATCCCCAAGGCCCCGGTAACCTCCTAACGTTAGGTTTGCCTGTTTTAATGGTGGGAGGTTGAGTATCTCTCTCGTCCCTTTTATTGTGTTCTAGGTCTAAAATGTCTTCATCATCCCTGATGGGTGTCCCGCTGGGAGGCAGGGACAGATGGTGGACAATGAGATGGGTTGGCTGTTTCTGCATGATCTCACCCTCCTCTCACACTCTCACTCAGATAGACTTTCTTGATTTTCCACAAACTCCAGATGCCGCCATCTTTAGCATCATTTCCTATTTCTGGTCGCCCTTTTCTTTGCGCAGACATTTGTCTTTCTGCAAACTACTAACATAAATCATTTCCTCTGTGCTGCAACATGTTGCTATATTGTGGAACCTTTAAGAGTGATATCACTAAAAGGAACATACTATGGTGCTAATCAACTGGTAAAGTTGAAGTCATTTTGACACCAACTGACACAAATCGCTAATTTCCGGAGGTCCTGCAACAGCTGAGCAACTGCTATTGAGCTGCTGTGAGAATAGGAATGCTAGTCCTTTTTTACACAATTTTTGATTTGTCTACTGAAGAAAATATTCTTAATTTCGCATGTCATATCCATTCATGTAGTCACTTTTATGCAATCTGATCTAATTTCAGTTGTCAGAAATTACATTTTAGTTGATGAAAATGTAAAGTAAACAAAATATTTAAACATTACGGTATTTAAACTAATGTATTTTTACAACTAATTTTAAGTCAGAGTTTTCCACTAAAATCTAATTTCAGTGAACAAAAATAATATTTTAGTTGACCAAGTATTCAAACATTTGCTGTATTAATTTCAAATTTAAAAAATGCAACAATATATGTGAAAACTGTTTTTAAAACAATTAGTTGTACGTTTTAGTGCATTGTTATGGAAAGATTCACAATTTGACTTACATTTAATGTGTTTTTTAATATATTAAATTATTTTTATTTTATAATATTTTTGTCATATTTTCGGAAAACTGTTAAGTTATTGTCTAGATGTGCATTTTTCGTCTTTGTTATTGTTAATGTTTTGTTTTTATATATACAAAATTAACTCTGTGAAATCATCCTTTGAATGGCTTACTTATAGTTATCATTGCTCATTAAGCTGTAGTCAGAGAAAGTATTTTAATTTAAATGATAAAACGTAGAATAGTGAGATTAAATGGAGCACGTTTCATTTCCAATGAATGACTTTTCCCATCTTTAAGCCCTTAAGTTTTGACCCCTTATCTGTGCACGACTGTTTTGCTCTCTCATACATCATTCTATTCCTCCCTCTCTCTTTCTCAAGAGAGGATCCTGGGAAGAGACAGAGAATAAGCTTCCTCTGAGAGATGGGCGATGCCATTAAAAGCACAGTCAGCACATTTCATAAAACTATGTGCTTGCAACCCAGATAATGACATGAATAATCATTAAAAAAAAAAGATATGTAACGGTAGGATTCACACATTTATTTATAAAGACGCATGGCTATTGACTAATATTTACCAAACAAAGTATGCGCAGATAAAGAAACAGCTGTTTATCTGAGCAGTACAGGTTGGCTAATGACAAATTGTTCTTTATGTTTCATTATATCTCAAACACACAGGCAAAACGTGACTTGCATCATCACCCCTCGCCCAAGGTGAAGGGCAGGGATGGTGTAGAATAACACTGCATTATTCTATCAATGCAACCCCCATCCCAAATCAGCACACAGTATGTGGCTGGCAGGAGCCCCAGAGAGTTAAATGAGCTTTTGCTGATGGTGCAACACACATTCGGCTGCTACTGCACACATTCATGTAACACACAGCACTACAGGGGCGCCTCTTCACCACAAAATCCCTCTTACGTAACCGCACACAAATTAGGCACAGGTACCAGAGGAGATGACACGATTCAAATAAGCTTGTTTTTATTTCAGAGGGCATTTTGTGCTGCTGCTTTGCCAGAACATGCACACATTTGCAGACAGAGGTTTTGCGTGTAACCGGAGAGTGTGCGAGTCTCAGCAACTCTGGGCCAATTGTGTATGTGGCTGGCAGGAGCCCCAGAGAGTTAAATGAGCTTTTGCTGATGGTGCAACACACATTCGGCTGCTACTGCACACATTCATGTAACACACAGCACTACAGGGGCGCCTCTTCACCACAAAATCCCTCTTACGTAATCGCACACAAATTAGGCACAGGTACCAGAGGAGGTGACACGATTCAAATAAGCTTGTTTTTAATTCAGAGGGCATTTTGTGCTGCTGCTTTGCCAGAACATGCACACATTTGCAGACAGAGGTTTTGCGTGTAACCGGAGAGTGTGCGAGTCTCAGCAACTCTGGGCCAATTGTGACTGAAACACAGCCTTCGGTGTTTGGGCTAGCACAGTTTGGGGCTGAGGAACTATTTATAGACATCCTTGTGTGTAGCTATTTACATATTCATCGCATATGCCTCTAACCAGTGAGAAGTAAATTAACCTAGTTTGGTGGAAGATAATAAAGCCCAGAGTGTGAAACTAGCCATAGGGCTTCGCACCTTTATATGCAGGGGATTCGTCACACCTGCTAACACATGAGTGTCAATTTTTCATGTCAGTGCACATGAATGGGGCTGTAATGTCTATCGCAGGCCTCCAGTTGTGAAGGCTGACGTTAGTTTGTGTATGACTGGAGTTTCAGTGGTTTACTAAATAATGCACTGGAATATTGCACTGGATATGCTGTTCCTGAAAGTAATACAAGTGCTTGAAGGGTAGCAAAAGAATAGTGCTAAGATTTCAGACTTTCAGGCTGCCAATTTATACTTGTTGGCTATAGATGGTTAAAAAGATGACAAGGTCGAACACAATTCAGTATGCAAATATTACAATGGCACCACTGCAGCTGTTGCATTTTGAATGCTGAATATTCAGTTATATTTGATTCACTTAGTGTACATAAGTGGCCGATTTTAAACATTTTATCTCAAAATTGCTTGAAAAAATAGGGAGCAGCTGATCATTTTTCATAAATTTTCTAAGTGACCATTAACCAGTCAACAAAACCAATTTAAATTGTTTTATTTCTGCTTTTAAAGATATAACAATAATAATATGTATTTTTAGACTTTAGTGGAATACATAATGATTATATTAACCAATATAATAATCATAATAATAATAATGTAGGTTCTTCGGGTCAAGCGATAATTAATAAACAACATTTTTATGTAACAGAAAAGGCACACGCTTTCTTTGAAGATTTCTAAAAAGATTTATTGCTTTAGGCATTAGTTTATGTAACCTTCAATAAACAAACAGAGTAGTATTACCCCATATGATTTTCGTCCAATAGAATTAAGGAATCAAAAACAGCCCAAGGGTATTTGCTGTTTTGCACATATCACAGTTGCACAAATATTTACGTGAAAGGACAAAGTTACAGAGTACAGAGATCAAGCTAAGTGGCAAATATTTAACAAGTTAATAATAAAATAAATAAATATATATATATATTATTAGTGTTGTTGTGCCATTAAATGTTGTTGTTAACAACTCAAGTATGAATGACTGTTACATAAAATGTTAAATGAAATAATTATCGGTTGACTAAGGAAACCGATATGTGAAATTTGTAGAAAATTGTGAATGTCTCTGAAAAAATATCGGTGAAACGGACTATTGGTTTAGCCTATCTCTACTTACAGTTTATAAATAAATAGATAACATGACTAAATTAGATTAAACAGTGGTTTGGGCTGAATTAATTGTAGTTCATAGTCACCCTAAACCAGAAGTTCTGAGGAATACCAATACTCTTCTGACATAAAAGCAATATAATCTGCATTGCACACTGACAGACACAACACATCACTGTCCTACCTTTTCGAATGAGGTCCTCGATATCTTGATCAAATCCAAGCCGATGGCATTTGCTCCACAGCCCCATGTTGGTGGAGTTATACTGCCTGCTGCACTCATCGGCGGCGCTCATGGCGAACAGCTGCCGTCTGTTCCGCGCCAGCAGCATCTTTTCCTCCCAGCGGTCCAGGCGCGAGCGGCTCGCCCGCAGAGGGAGGCTATTGTTGGGGATGTAAATAAAGCCCGGGTCCTTCCGGCGGCTGGAGAAACTTCGGCACCGCTCTCGGTACCTCCGGGCGTCCGTCTCGTACCAGTGGTCGGAGCAGATAGCCACGGCCAGCATCCCGAGCGCGCAGAGGGACAGAGACAGACCGGCGTAGAGCAGCAACTTCCCCGCAGCCATGCTCGCGTCGCGTTCGCTCAGAGCCGCGTCAGCACCACAACAGCTTGGAGAGCTCCTCGACGCGCAGCCGCATCCCGCCGGGCGCGCGGACAGAGAGAACGGGTGTCAGTCGGTGCAGTGAAATTTGTTTGGAGAGCTCGAAGGAAATATTTAAGCCTTTATTTAACGTCCATCCGTAGCTCTTCCCATCCAATACCAGTGAATGAAACCAGACGAGACGATTCAGTCCAGTCCTCGAACCAAGCCTTTCAAAAGAAGGCAAAGGAAGATTTTTTTAACCAATTTTTATATTAAAGCTGATACAACACTCTTTAAATGGGGTTTCAGCCGAAACAGTTTTACAAAATATCCCAGGCGTACCATTGCGTCACCTAAGATTTCGTACGTCTATCATCCTGTAGGCTATTAAAGACAGGACGCAATTCACGGGGGATTATTAATGTTTGAACCTCCCAGAAAATGTATGTGGGGGTACAAACTATTCTAACGTAGCCAACGTTTCAGTTGTGTTTGAAAAACGATTTTTTTTCCAGCTGATGATTTTTTATTGCATCAACTTTACAATCAAACAATGTACAAAATCATATTCCAACATTCATCCTTGTTTGAGCATGTACAAAAACAGAACAAAAAATAAATTAAACCATCAAAATACCAAAACAAAAACCAAACTAAACCAGAAAGAAAAATACAAAGAAAAGAAGCTTCAAAAATAAAATACAACACAATTGGCTTTTCAATTAAATTAGATACAAATCCAAGAGAGAAGTCAACTTAAGGACTTCTTGTTCTTAACAAATTTTTAAAACTTCCCAAAACATAATAGGAAAATAATAAATTCAAAATCTCAATAAAAAAAAAAAAGTGAAAGTGACGTGGCCAAGTATGGTGACCCATACTAGGAATTAGTGCTCTGCATTTATCCCATCCAAAGTGCACACACACAGCAGTGAACACACACACACCGTGAACACACACCCGGAGCAGTGGGCAGCCATTTTTTGCTGCGGCGCCTGGGGAGCAGTTGGGGGTTCAGTGCCTTGCTCAAGGGCACCTCAGTCGTGGTATTGAAGGTGGGAGAGAGCGCTGTACATTCACTCCCCCCACCTACAATCCCTGCCGGTACGAGACTCGAACCCGCAACCTTTGGGTTACGAGTCCGACTCTCTAACCATTAGGCCACGACTTCCCATCGAAAAAACACCGACAGCCAATCAGAATCAATCCTGCTATAACGAGCTCGAGAATTTAAAGCGCAGAGCGTGTGCTCATAAAACAGAATAGACGATATCGTTCGCTGGTGTGGACGCTAACATCGTTATCTTTATCGTTCTTGGTGTGAACGGGACTTTCAGCTGTGGCCAAATTGACCCTAGCGAAATCGCGTTCACCTGAGGTGGTAACCATAACAGTTTTGCGCTTTCTGTTGCGATCATCATTCACAAAAAAATTACAAATACTGCCAGGCTAGTATTTATCGTCATTTTTAAATTCACAACACAAATATATAGCACAACCCGTAATAGTTTTCGTAATTCGTTGCATAATTAACGATCAGGCCAAATGACAATCTACGTTGCTTAAGACAACCTTCAAAAATGGGCTACCTATAAAAAATCATTTAAAGAGGTCATATGATGCAATTTCAAGTCTTTGTAGAAAACTAAGCGTTTGAGAGAGGCGGGGCATAGAGGACCTACAATAATGTACAGTATTTGAAAAACAATGTGTTTTTTGAACATTAAAGCATGTCAACATATTCTGTTACACCAAATACACAAAATAATGATCTTTAAAAAAGCATCATATGACCCCTTTAAGAAGCCGACCAATGATTCTAAATAGCTTTTGATTCATTTAAAATGAACCGAGTCAATTGTTCGGGAATCGGACTAGACTGATTACCAATTCACTAAAAATAACCAGCTCATACGAGTCATTTGTACGGGAGTTGGACTACGCTGGTGGTATTGAACGTTTTTTAATTCACTAAAAAGAACCGGCTCATAAGAGTCGTTCTCGGACTACGTTGGTCGCGCTATAGATTCGGTATTAAACATAGCGAATGCTGTAAACTGTCGGAGTAGGCAATTTCATTTCTGTTCGCATTAGCGGAAGAATAATTAATGATCAAATAATTTAATGACGTTACTGAAGAACCGTTAACAGAACCTGCATTGATGAAAATGACTCGGTTCTGGTAGGCTACTGAATAAATGAAACCGGTTCCGAACCCTTCCCATCACGTTTATCCTACCTGGCGCTGGCAGACTATAGACTTTTGCTTTACGGTTTATGTTACATATAAGTTTCATAGAAATGCACCATCGCAGTCAGGTTTATTTTCTCATACTTTCTCTTTAGGGGATGCATGAACATTTATCAAATTGACTGTTAAAGAGAAAATGTATTAAGATGACTCGACATCAATTCATTCAACCAATTCAATTCAATTTAAATCGCGTTAGCCTATGATCAAAACAGTAAATCATTCCTGTGAAGGAATATTAAAAATAATAATGTAGGCTACAGCTATGCTCTTATTCTTATAGCATCCATTGTTGGAAAACCCACGGGCCCCGTTTCTGGTCTGATAAAGTAAATTAAATTCTGTACTCACCCCAATTAAAGCCGATAAAACGGGTTCACTCCACTCCAATAATGCACATCCAGCCCATTTTGTGTTTGCAGTCACTGTACGTTTGGCTATACAGGATATGCACTGCCAAATAATCCTATTTAACACACAGCGACACACATTTATAAATGGTCTACGCTGGAAATATCAAACCGTTCAACGACGCCGCATCTCAGACGCTTCACGTTTACATGAGTGTATCGCTATTAGAATATTTGGCGGATGGTGCATCCTCCTCCTCGGACAATATGGTCCCAGCATCCTCCGTGCATGTTGCCTCTGTCTGGGAAAAACAGCGGTGATGTCATGCTGTCAATATGAGATGTTCATTGTTTATTAAAGCGGCTTCTTAAAGGAGTCGCACTACTGTTCTTGGTTCCGTGTCGAACTGTAACTGGAGTTGCCTTGCTGGCATTCTCTCTTAGATTTACACATACTGAAGGAAACCGGTGTCTTTCATGAATAAATAATCAAAGCTTTCAGAATCCTTCATTTTGTCATTTTGCATTATCAGAGCTATAAAATGATAGCTACTACACCAGACCCAAAAAACCCTTCTTACTCATAAAGGTTTGTTATTTGAAACCACTATGCACTGTCCAGAACCAACAGCAGTCAGGTATTGCTGAATAATGAATGAGAGCCGTGGCATCTGTGTGAGTGAGGCCATTGTAAGCCTTTTCTGTTTTATTGGGTTGCCCACACAGCCTTCAGATAATGTAGGGATTCTCATGTACTTCACATATTTTTGTGTAGGTGTATGTATGTGTACGAGATTGATATATATTAGGCTACACATTATTAAAGATTCAGTTCAGTATAATGAAACGGCAACAATCAGCAGCCCATTTCTTAAATGTAAATGTTTTTACCAGACTTTTTTCTTACTAAATAAGAAAAATGCAATAAACAATAGAGAATATAGCATTATTTGCACTGCAGGGTGACAAATAATTATATATGAAACAATATTTTAGAAGTTTTGCATTTAAAAGTCAGCATCCGTGAAAATAAGGTCAGGTATTTGTCTCAGAATTGAGGAAAACTGGAAATAAAGTGGATCTTTATGCCGTATTTTAGGCAAAGGCTACTACTGACAGACTGAAATATTGAATGTGACATAATTTGCACAATGGGTCTGAAACCGCATAATATTGACTTGGATGCATTGGATTGACTCTTATTACACATTCTGAGATGTCTTTTCTTTATTGAATTTTATTGGACTGTAATTGTTGTCTCTAGGACAGTATGAATGACAGCTTGACAGCTAAATTTTAATTAGCTACATTTTAAAATGAGGCAAAGTTTGTTTGGAACTTATTTGCAGCTAACAGTGAAAAATGAACAATGTAATCTAAAAAATGCAGCCGATATACACAAGGCAATTTGTCTTGTGCTATTTGAGGATGTGTTATCTTGTTCCTTTTTTTGTCCCCAGAATTGTGTTAATGGATACATCCCCTGGAAGGAAAAGAAAAACGTGATTGTCATGCTAATCCAGAGAGCTGTCCATCAATTTATTTATTTATATCATAGGCTATGTGTGCTTTCCTCCCGTTTTAAATTTCTTTAATGCATATATCGCCATCTAGTGCACAAAGATATCAGAACAAATCTAGTGTTCGTCACGCAGCCCTTATAGGGTGGTTTTAAAACGTTTTATATGAGAATAATAATTAGAAGAATAATAATAGGGCTCAAAGAAGTCTTTTGTTTTTAATGAATTGTCCAATAATCACATGCTTAATGGTTGGGTTTTCGGTTTAATAAAGAAATTTAATAAAGAAACTGTTAACATTAATGTTCAATTTAAATAAATAGGTATAAATTATTCTATAAAGTTATCAACCAAGTAATAATTACAGCACACACAGACTTAGACAGAACTCTTATCTTGGCAAATATTCGCATTCGGAATGATTACACAGGCGTACGACTTCCTGTGACGCACAAGATCTTTTATACAGTGAAGCGGCTAAGTAATTCAAGCTAAAGAGGTATTTAAAATTTACTAAATGTAAGGCTCTTCTGGTTCATTTTTATAAAATTTAACCTGGGGAAATTTGAAGTGTGAAAAACGCACAGTGCTTGAGCTATTAAACCACATTTGACTGTTATTTTAAGGACCTGAGAGACTGATAGGGGAAGCGCTTGACCTGCTACGCGCATGCGCGTCATTCACGTTCTCCAGCGTGTGTTTGAGAGTATGAAGGTTGAACTGTCAGCTAACCATAAACGAATATTCAAAATAGTTACTGAATATATTTTGTCAATACTTAATGTCTGTCCACATGCTTTTATAATAAAGCATTTATTTTTGGACCTCGACTGCTTCTTTCAGGATTTTTGAAAGGGTAAGAATACAAATTTTAGACCTGTTATCTGCTAACTTAGGTTTATATACAAAGCAACTGCAGACTCTTTAATAAAATGCACGACTGTGTTTTAAAGATATTAAAATAGTATTATATTTTATTCATTTTTATTTCCATTATTTCCATTAAAGCATTCATAGAAATGATAAGACATTATCATTCTATGCATTTATCTGTGTATACTCTGTTAGGTGAAGATGGCTGGTCTGTCTAGCTATGCCCTGCGCATGGCCCGTCTGAGCGCCCGGATATTTGGAGATGTGGCCCGTCACACAGACTCCAAATCCATGAAAGTGGTAGAGTTGTTTAAAGAACCCCCCCTGGCCCAGAGGAAAGAAGTGTATGACTGGTATCCCCCACACAAGATCTACTATTCAATGACTCAGAAGCTCAGATTCATGGGGCTTTTCAGGTAAGCTCTGGTTATAGTGCACCTCTGAACATTTGATCTTCAAATTCTGCTGTTTGTGCAGTTAACGGTTCTTTGCTATTGTTTTAGGGATGAGCACCAGGATTTCAAGGAGGAAATGAGGCGCTTGAGAAAACTGCGGGGTAAAGGAAAACCCAAGAAGGGAGAAGGGAAGAGAGCCGCAAAGAAGAAGTAGACCAGCACATTTCATCTATTATTTATCTGATGAAGAAGCTCTGTACATGAGTTGTACCTGTATGGACAACAGGACATGTTTATGACTGTGGTGTGATATGTTCTATTAGCAGAGATGATGGTGAAACAAAAACACAAATGCTGAATTTACAATGTTGGGACATCCTCAGCATACCTCACCAACACCTCTTAGGTTTGTTTTCCTAAGAATACACTGCAAGAGCCCATAAACCCTTAGGCCAAAGCTTGGGCTACATACAAGAAATAATTCATTTTAAATTGCTACATTTGTGCCAACAAATCAATACACCAGATATTGTAATGGACCCATAATGGAAATAAGTCAGTCAGGATCATGTTAGAAATTATGCATGTGTAGCAATGATTTTGATTGTGGGAGACATGCTATTCCGTAAACCTGCCCATATCCAATCATTTTTTCCCTAATATGATAAAACGGCATCTTAAATCTGTTCCAATGATAGGTGTAGCGGTCATCAATTTCTTGTTCACCAGATTGGGTTCCTGTTCCATGGTCTATTTTCCAGAATTGTCTAACTTATTAAATGGGATGGTTTTTAATTTTCTGAGCATCAGTCATCTGCAAGAGTGCAAGATACTTGAATAATTGTACTGGACATTTTTGAAGTCATCGTGACTTGCATCTCTTCTCTCTTTGTACATTTTACTAATCAAATTACTCTGCTGGACCTTTTACAGCCAATAACATAATTTTTAAGTGTTAACTAACTATATTTGCACACAATTATGGTCATAAAAACAACTGCAACATTTAAAAGTTAACAATCCCATGTCAAAGTTGAACATCTGGTGTGGCTTAAAGCCTTACGTAGTCGGGACATTGACCAGTATTACAGCCAAATCATCTTCTGATTAATGTTCATATCCTGGTCCTTTATTCTGAAGAAATGTATTTGCATGCTCCACAGCTATTGAAATAATTCTGTGCATATATGCCTTTTCTGCCTAATGCAGGTATATGCCAGCTGCTGTATTCCTATCCACATTTGGGTAGTAATCAGAATTTTCATATGTATCTTGAAGAAAAAGAAAGAAAGAAACAGTTACTATGTTTTTGGCTAGAAAAAAAAGTGTATATGTGCTTTGTTATCATATATCAGGCTTTTATGGTCCATATAGTATAATATAGTGAGAATATGGAGCATCTCAACATTATTACTTTATTAAAAATATGCAATTTGGTGCAGTTGTTATTTAAATGAATTGCAATTATGAAATTCTATTAGCTTGATATTGTAAACCGATTTTTATGGAGTATAGCAGACTACTTACATAAAAAAACTAATATCTGTTGTCACTCTTTATCTCCTCATAATACTTCTTAGTATTTACTTCTTACTTCTTATTTTACTTTTTTAAATCAATGCTTTATGGGTCAATATCACCATAGAGTGCCTTTCAACCCTCACAATACTCAAAAGATTTTGGTTTTAATTTCCCATTCGCTTTATGTCATGTCATAAATAGTAGACACTCAAGTACTATAGAATTAGCTGAGCTCCCACACATTTTTTTTATGTTAGATAATTATGGGCCATTATTCGAAGCATAAACCATAAGATATGTCCACACCCTGTTATGGACATATATATTACTGTTAAATACGTTTTCATTGCAAAATTAAGATGCAAATTATATTTTCTGAAAGGTATGATGTCCCTTTCCTAAACGGTTATTAAACAAATATATTATAATAAATAATATAATCACATTGATATAGCAAACTCATAAGAAGAAAATTTGTCAATTGAAAAGTCACCAACTTACTCACCTCAGCCGTTGAAATTCCCGCCACTGAAGAGACAAAAAAAATCTGTTGTCCTAATGTCACTAAAGTGGATGGCCTTTTATTAAAGGGGCAGATTCCCAACAGGGTGGACAACCATTCAAGGGACATGGACAAACTCTTCTTTTTTATTAAATAAAAATATTGTTTTTATTACCAAATGATCAATACACTCAAATTGAGTAAACTCTTATTTATCAAAATATTAATAGGAGAATTTTTATTTTATTTTATGTTTTGACAATATTCTACTATCATTCAAATTTAATGAGCAGTGCATGAGATACAGCAAAATAACACGCATCCTTTTATACAAAACTAAAAAAAAATCTAGGAAATGCTTTTGTTATGAATATAAAAACTTAGCCTAATATAACACCCTTTCATAGTCATTTTTATGTTAAGCTATCATGGCAAATGAGTTATTTATGTAACTTACAGGACACCAAAAGGCATATACTAAAAGGCCT